GGAAAACGTTGTTACATACAATCCACGATCGAGATGTAAGCGTCGCCCCACCACAAATTTAAACCTGATACGTCCTGAATTGAACACTTTGTTAGCTGAACTACATCTTAATTTTTTGAGAAACGGGTCACTTTTCTACGTCTGAGTCCTGATAAACGCCACTGCTTTGCAAACACAAGCCACACCCTAGCCTGCCACTGTAGCTCACTGTCAGCAGCTACAGGTGCAGCTACAGGTGTGGCTTGTGTTTGTGCTCCGCTGGATCTGAGTGTAAAAATTAAAGGAGCTGTTGTCGGGTACAGTGCAGGGATTGGAGGATCAAAGCTTTGAAGCTCGTCTCAAAACCCTACATGAAGGAAAAGTGTTTTTCGTCCCTGCAAAGACAGCTGAGTCACTGATTTCCAGCCAACGAGCGGGCGGTGAACTGCCAGCTTTCTGAATTGTTGTTATTCCTTTTCATGGTTTCTCCGCGGGGAGTAGCGTGTGTGGAAACTGGCAGCGAGCGCTTATCTTGGCAAGAACGGCAGATTGGCACCTGTTTTTCCTCTGTTTTGGAATAAGTATGCACTCTTTGCAGTAGTACACGGTGTTCACAAGATTGATACAATGTGAGGTTTTTTTTATTTATATCCTGTGTGTCGTCTGTAAAGTGCAAAAGGAACTGAATGTACTGCTCACAGGTTTCCTCCCTCCAGCAGTTTAAGATAAAATATGTAACATTTCTGCATTAAAATGTCTAAAAACAATAGGACTGTGTTTTATATTGTTTTGAGCATTATCCCAAATGTTTCCAACAGTGTTCAAACTCGGAGAAATCTGCGTTTTGATTCGGTCGGCGTTGTGGTTTTCCGCCAGAAGCTGCCGTTATTTGACTTTTTATTTAGTTTTAAGCCACATTTTTACAATATACCTAATAGATCCTGGTCATTTTATAATATAAACTTTAACCGGGTGAAGGATTTTAGTCATCGGACGTTATCAGTGGGATAATTCAGCTCCAGTAGAAACATCCTGAACGATGAACACTGAAGGGATCCTAACCAGGAGAAGCTGATAGCAACTCCCATGATCCTCTGCTACTTCACGGGGTCATCAAACCTCGTCTTTGTTATTGTTTTAACGTGAAACACCCTCTAGTGGCAGAAATTACATAACATCCGTTTTAATGTGTCCGATATGGTTGATCACTACCTACTCCTAAATGTGTATCTCTGGATGTTTATGAATATTTAATAGTTATAAACTCTGAAAGGAGCGACTCCTAACACTGTTTTATTTTGGATCTGTGCTGCAGGTGATCTTCCTTCATGGGTTAGGAGACTCAGGGTGAGTGATGTTTTAATTCATGTTCAGTATAAAAGTTACAATAATCCTGTTTTTGTTTTCTCTATTAATTTATTATTATTATTACGTAACGTGTGTGAGCAAGTATACTTTCTACATAACGTAAATCCATTTTCTGCTTCAGATATCACCACAGATACTTTTCATGACGTTGCTTGGTGTCAAACCTCGATACTTTTTTTGGAAAAGACCAAAATGTGTTTTGGTTTTGCTTTTAAAAAATAGATTAAAATGTTTTTTTCAGACTATTTTATTCAGGCAAAGTTCTAGTACAAATGTCTGTGTTTAGACTACATTTAATATTTGACTTTGAATTAAATTTTTGTGAATTTTTGTTTACATTTCTCGAATTAAGGTATTGAAAAAAAGTTGTTTTTGGTTTTGTACTCAAACTCAGACACCATATTGGTGCCCTGACGATCAGCATGCTGTTAAAGACACAGTCCTGCTCTGACAGCTAAATCTAATGTTTCTGGTGGTGATAAAGGTTTGTTTAGACCAATAAACAAAGTACTATTTGGTGTCAGTACTGAATATATATGTATGGATTAATATTATATGTCATATTAATGGATATGGAGTAATAAATAGTGGATACATGTGAGTTATGTTTAGGATTGTCTACTGTGTGAATCATTACATTTGCATCATTTATGTCATTTTATTCAGATAAAATACACATTAATTCCCATTTAGCCACAAACACAAATGTATTTTTCCTTTTCAACTTGTGACTAGAATAAAACCAAGAAGAATTGGAGCTTCAAACCAGCTTTTGAAGGGAGTTTCTAGGTTTCTAGGTCCAGGATCACTTTTTAGGTCCGTTGCTTCTAGGTTGCATTCAGGGTTGCGAGGTTGTGTCTCTTTATTTTTAGACTAAAAATAAAACTATTAATAGTTTGTGTTTTTTTAAGGTGAGCTCAGAGAAACTTTCCTCTTTCAGCAGATGAATGTGAAAACTCTGCTCATACATCACAGTGAACTACATATAAACATGACGTTTTCTTATTTTCCTTTATTTTGTGGCCTCAGTGTTTCTGATATCCCGACCACAGCCCTGGTTAAATTTACATTCGGCTTTATGTTTTTGCATATTAGGTTTCTGTTGCCAGAGATGCATGAAGTAGCTAGTGATGTGTGTAGCCGCTTCTCCACTGCGTCGTCGGCTCAGGGTTTTTTTTTTGTGTGGATTTACATTACGTTACGATTTACAGTGCTTGTTTTGGTGTCACCTGAGCTGAGCTAATACTAAAAGGTGATGTGAAAACCCTGCAGACATCCTGCACACACACACACCGCATTTTAAATAGCCAGTGTAACGTCAATAGCAACCACACATTTTTTTTTATTCCCTCAAAAATAGCAGCCCGCAAAAACCACGGCATGGTCAGTTTAGGAAGTGCAGAAGGGAGCTGTGAATTTGAGCAGTGAAGTTGTCAATGTAGCAGTGAATGTACAGTGTAGGTTACAGTTTGTCAGTGAATAAAGGCTGCAGCTACTCTAAACCAAAGCAAAGCTCCCTCGCTGTTTCCCAACTGTGTCGCCTACGTCGAGGGGTTCCTATTGAAAGTACTGTCTACACTCAATCTACACAGAGCAGAGTAGAGTTACCAAAAGCGAGGAGCTGTCACATGTAGTGGAAATACGGCTTAAATGCCTTAATTGATGCCCACATTCATGTAGTTTAATTTCATAACGCACCACTTACAACATCATGAATGACTAATTTAAAAAAGCTCTCAAATAAGCTCTTGAATGTCGGGTGAGTCACTTGATCCGATGTTAAATCGTGTCATTGCGTCTCCACAAATATCCCCTGCGGTGGGTGTTTTTCTCTTCAGTATCTAATTGTACCTCAAGTGCAGCTGATTTTAACGTGTAGAAGTGACCACGTATGCTGCTCACACTCTGTATTCCACGTGTTGTCCTACATTTTGCATTTAGCTGAAACTGGATTGGAAACAAAGCGTTTCTCTCTGTCTGTTTTCTGTCAGGCATGGGTGGGCCGACAGTTTGACGGGGATCCAGCTGCCTCACGTCAAGTTCATCTGCCCCCACGCGTAAGTCTTTTTTTTTTTAATTTCCTTCTCTGTCATCCCGTCGTATTTTATGCCTCCAAGACACAAATCACTTGTCGGCACAGAGGAAAACTAACATCTTTCCAACTGTGTCGAGTGAAGTACAATGTTAACCCGTAAAACAAATACACGGTTTTCCCGTCAGAATGCAAAAGCAGCTTCAAACCAATCGTTTATCCGTCATCCCGTCTTATTGAGTGACTTAATCGATCCACCAACGTTTAGCTCCTGGCTGCTGGTGATCTCCTACACTGACTGTCATGTTTTCATTTCTCTCCCTCCCCCTTTTTCCCCCCCGCAGGCCCCCAATTCCCGTCACTCTCAACATGAAGTCGACGATGCCTGCGTGGTGAGTTAGCGTGATGAAAGAGACGGCCTTTTAGCTCAACACTGGACGCTATTGTTTCCCTGGAAACCACAATGGGCTCCCATATTGGCGCTGACAATACTGTGATTGTGTCTATTGATTTCCTTAAAAAACGCTCGCCTCTGCATGTGTCCAGGTTTGACCTCATGGGTCTCAGCCCCGACTGCCCAGAGGACGAATCTGGAATCAAGAAGGCAGCAGACAACAGTGAGTTCAATGTTTAAATGCTGGTCCATTAGCGCATGATGTAAGCTTTAAAGGATAAGGCTGCCTTTATTCTATAATTTTGTTATTGACAATAAATCCCATGAAATGAAAACAAAAACAAAAACCATCAATAGTTTGTCTCTCAGACCTTTCCGAC